GGAAAAACCCGAAGACTCGAGAGATGAACTAATGTCAATTCTCTTTCCGGCTCAGACTGCATTGGTTAAACTTATGGGGCTGTCACGTGATGAACGAACGACTCAAACCCAAGGACTTGAGAGATGAACGAATCAATTCTCTTTCCGGCTCAGACAGCATTGGTTAAACTTATGGGGCTGTCATGTGATGAACGAATGACTCGAAAAACCCGAAGACTCGAAACAGGTGAACTACTTGACTAATTCCAGTACAGAACCTATAAGATGTTGCGCATGCGCGACTGAACAAATCACTCGTTCTTCCGGAGTCACATTAAAGATTCGTTCAAAATGAACGAATAGTTCAAGAACGACCCAACACTACCGTGAATACCTTTAAAGTTCTGTGTATAAGATATGACGCAAATTTTACTCAAATCAAATGCTAAAATGCTCATGAAGTGACTCTCAGAGCAGTTCTGGAGATGTTGTTCATGCGTTTACATCCTCATTTAGTGAGACGGAAGACGCTGAAATCACCGCGAGCGTCAGGTGTGCTTCAGTATGTGTGTAGTAAATGAAACCGCGCGTCTGCCCCATTCATAAACAGAGACAGGCAGAACATGCAGGATTCATATTTAAATCGACTTTTGCGGCTTAATATTTACAGATACTAGTCCATATCGTGATTTTATTTAAGTGTAATGACCAACTTTTGATTAATTCATTCAAAATTTGACATTAAACTGTGAATTCTGTTTTTATGACTGGATAAAGACTACACTACACTGCGTAATTTTCCAGCTTATCATGAGGCCACTTGCCTGATGTGAACAAAATATCTTACATACCACCACTTGTGAACAAGCCAGTGTAATGCAAATATATCTGAAAGGTCTGCGCAAGGATATCGTCACGTTCTTGCGAGACCAGTCAGATCTCGCATCGGATCTCGTCGCACCCCTAGTAAACAGTAACTTATAATAGACGCTATGTAAATTAGGTTGTGCTTACAGTTGAGGCACACGTGCGTGTGTGGACAGAGACGCAGAGAAATTCAAATGAGTGTAACACCACAAAAACTCAATAAAGCTTATAGAACAACAGCAATCAGTGATGATTGACTTGAATGATACACTCTTGGTTATTAAAGCTTCAGTAAAAATAGTGTATACTCTAACTTGCAAAGGCTTTTTAGTGCTAAATTTAGTGCTATACATGAAAGAAGAGAAACACCTTTGCTATTGTCAGTCACATCAAAACTGACTATTTGTAAGCATTGAAAAGAATGAATCAAACAATCTGATACAATTTATGTTGGTTTTTAAAATCAGTTTACTGTAGATGGGTCTGATGAGTATCTATTGATCTATCAATTGATAGAAAATAGAAAAATAAAAACAAGCTGCAATCTTGCAGCACTGATGTGAAAAGTGTATATGAGAAAGAATCCAGATAGATGCTAAATAGAGAATATAGATTATTATATTATAGAGACACTACAGACTTTAAAGTAATATATAATAAGAGGATAAGACTGAAGAACTACTTAAATACATCTATTATGTTTAGACTGACTCATTATTTCTTCAAGAAATTGGTATTTTTTTAGTTTCCTGAATGACAGTTATTCAGTGTATTCTGATGACGTATTTTCTACAAGTAAATTGATCATCACAAATATTTTATTTTGGCTGACTTTTAAAAGTGTGACAACTGAAGCATAGCTCATACACAAGACTGAAACCATAAGCACCAACTGGTTCGGCCAAATCAGCATCAGCTCAACAGTTTAAATTATGTTAATTATGCAGGAAAGTAGTGCACAATGAGCAGGACTGGACAGACCCCAGCCTTGTGAATAGAAATAAAGGAAAGAAAGAGGTAGAAATAGCTTGTTTCTAAACATGCATAACTCAGACTCACCAGGGCAGGGTAGGAGGGGTATCCACTACATTTAGCCCAAACTAGTTTGAGAGGTTCCAGAACTGTAGCAGCACTAGCAGGCATCCAAATACTGCTGTTACCAACTTCTATAAAAGCAGGAACATCAACAACCATGTTATGATGGTGCAGACATATAATATATGTCTATAGTGATATAGCACAAAATAATAATAATAATAATACAATTTCAATACTTTTAGACCATTCAGGTAGCAATTTTTTATATAGTGGAAAATAGGGGTGAAACAGTACAAAAGAAAATAAATCTTAAAGTCACAGTTCAGTACCTTTTCAATACAGGTGGCATCTGTGGTTCACTGAACAAACTGTGGCTATGTCTTTAAATTTTAATCAAAACTTTGTTAAGGATAAAAAAATTGATCTCAGCGAAAGCTGTAAACTATACACTGGGAGCCCGATCACTTGCACATTACTATATTATTAAAGGCTACAATTAAAAACAGAGCCCAAACTATTCAACTGCTATTTATTTTTAGATCTCAATCAACACTCAAATTAAAAAGTGTATGCAAACATGTAAATTGCACATAAGCCAGTTTTTACACTATCTTATAAATCTAATTATAAAATTATGTTTCTACATAGCATAGACTAAAAGATCAATCTTGAAATGTAAGAATTAGTTTGTTAAAATTAAGATATATAAAAACAGAAGTTTCAAATTAAGTTCACTATGTGCAGTGGTTAAAACAACTCTGTATTTGTTTGGTACATATACATACCTAACCAAAAGACGCGTACCGAAATTGTTCTGTAGGAAGACGTGTACCGTTATACCCCGTGTGGACAATTAGATTCATAATGTTTGATGCTAAAATAAATAAATAAATAAAATTTTTAAAATTATCATGGCATGTTTTCATGTTCCGGTCCTTTAATCTGGCATCCAAATAAATGAAGAGGCATCCCAATAGTGCCATTTCTAATATTAGCACTACAACTGCACAATGATTTATTCATTTATCTATCTATCTTTTTTGAATAAAATTATGATTCTTCTGAAAAAAAAAAATCATATTTTAGGGATTTACAAAACCAATAAATAATGGTGAAACTTTTGTAAATTTGTAATAAATTGCAGAGCAGCAAGATATTTCTTTAAAAATATCCCATCCACTGTGATTTGACTCACTGTCAAACTGAGATCAAATTACAGTTCAGTTAAAAGTGTACAGATGTGGATACCTACCAGCAGCTATTCTAGCAGCCTTGGCAAAGTTTCTACTCTCGATGCAAGCAATAATCTCATTCTTGTCCTCCACTGTGTTCCTCCGGATGAGGGCTGGCTTCCCCTTTCCACACTTCGGTAGACTAACTGCAATACTACTTAAGACAGAAAAGAAAACATGATGGTGTGGTGTGGGATGCACACGAAAATAGGAATGGTACAGGGTTACAGGGATGTGCATTTGAACTACTCAAGCACTTGAAAGATAAAACATAAATCAGCAGAGTGCTTCAGTACTTGTGGATGCAATGTGTGTTCCTGCAGCTCAAACCACTGAGCATGATTCTAGCAATGCCTAAGCCATGGATTTAATTCTCAAGGGATGAATAAAGTGATACATTAAAAAAATGCAACAATTAAAATTAAACAGTTTAGTTTTGGAAAAAATAAAAAATGATTTGGTCAGAATACAATTTCAATACAGCGCCCTACACAAATTTGGACCCCCTTGGTAAATATAAGCTTAACAGGCCATAGAAAAATCAAAAATGTCTTTGGTGTTTTTGCTCATAGTCTTTCTTTAATAAGATTTACAAAAATGTCTAACCTTCAATTAATGTATGATAATTAAAAGAAGAATATTATGTTGTTGAAAAAACTACATTGTTTATTATTGCCCCAACAATATGTATATCTATATATCTATATATGTATATCTATATCTATATCTATATCTATATATATATATATATATATTTCAATCATGACTACTCTCTGAAGATTTTAGCATGGTGACAATTTTGTCACTTGTCATTTATGACAATTTTAATGTATTTGGTCTTGGCGGAATAGATCTGCTACGCTGCTGCTGAATTCCTGCTGCTGTTTGTTATTGCTGTAGTTGTAGATTATTGCTGCTGCTGCAAGCAAGTACAGGAACTTGCTACTGGCAATACGGTGCTGTGAGTATTTAAGACATACTGCTGCTGCACATATAGCATATAAAATAACCCCTCAACAAAGCTGGAAGAAGAAAACAAAACAACTAAACATGAATGCTGCTGCTATACAATAATGTGGGTGGTTGACATAAGCCTGAAAAAAAAATTTTTTTTAACTTCAAATATTAGGCATAAAAAAATATTGAGCTATGTTGTACTGACTCTTGAATTTCCAATAAAATATGTGGTCTTTTAAATGTTGTATTGGAAACTGGATTTATTTACCAATTTGTTGCATTTGTGGCCAAAATTGTCATATGGTGTGACAAAATTATTCTATATAAAATTAAATTGGGATATACTTCCCTAAGTAACTAACTTCACCATACATTTTTATCATTACTATCTTAAGATTTAACATTATTTTGTGCAGATCCATTAGATTTTGTATTATTTTTCTAAATCATCATGCAGAGTAAGTCATCTCTCCTCAGCCTTTCCAGACATTTTAGAATGATTCTGACAAACCCTGTTATAAATCTAATAAAATGCTTGTGAATCTTGCTGATACTATTTAATTTTTGTTCCATTGACTTTATGGTTTATAACAAAAAAAAAAGTATTTTATTGCCACAATTCTGATTGTCACACCAAATTATATAGTGTCACACTATATGATGAAATGCACCACACCACAATTTGTCAATGCAAAAAAAAGTGTATTTTATATGCATTAAACATTCAATGAATTAAATTAACAGTAATAAAACTAAAAATCATCAAACATACCAACATTGTTTTAAAACTTTTAAAAATGTATTTATGAAACTCAGAAATATGAGTAAACACCATCTCACACCAAGAACCTTCAACATGAACATTTTAAGATTAGAGAGTGTGTTGTAACAATTATAATTGTTAAACAGTAAAAATATTTTCAGCTTACAATTAGTCGAATGTTTTAGATTGAAAATTCATAGACATTTATAGTATCTTCATTCAGTGATGCTTCAAGAGATGGAGGGGTCAGGTTCATAATGGCATTCACTTTTTTCTTTTTCTGTATTTCTTTTGTGCTTCTCTCCACATCTCTCTCGTCTTGAAGGAAGAAGGGTGTGCACACTGAATGCCTCGAGTTGTCCTCTTCGTTTCTTCTCTTTGTACCGGTTAATGAAAAATATATAATGATTAAGATTTTTTTAACCGTTCATTTCAGCCTCACAATCTTGATAATAGTATCCTGTGTTGAAGTTACACTAAGCAGATTGTGGCCTAGACTTTCATCCTTCCCTATAGAAGGTGTCTGTTCTGTGTGAACTGGCATGATCTCCTTACTTTTTCCTCCTTTCCCTCAGGACCTCTTCGCTCCTTGCATGGTCAGCATTGAGTCTTACCCTGTATTTTTGTGTCCTCTCTTTACTTGACATTTCTGCCGGACACAGACAAAAAATTGCATCTTTTAATATGTAAAGCATGGCAAACATGGTTAAATTAAGAATCAAATTGAAAAGGAATATATTAATTGTATGGGCAATTTAATGTACACCATTAAATTCTTTCAATATGTTTTTAATATTAATTTATCATTAAAAAAGGTGTATGTAATATTGTGTGACAAAAGTATCATATGGTGTGACTTGGAAAAACAGTCACACCATATGACATTTTGTTCAGTTTAGCTAATCTCTTTGTTAACTAGAAACAGCTAGCTTATACTTAGCATGTAAATTGCCACATGGCAGCAATGATTTTTAAGAATTAAGTAAAATTTGTAAAAAAAATAAATAAATAATGTAAATAATGTCACACCATAAGACACAAAACATTGACCACTAATGAGCACATCAGTGACAGAGCTTTTTAATTAAAAATTAAAAAGTCATAACTCACCTCTTCACCTTCCAAACCACTCCAAAGAGGACACTGCAGCTTCCTGGTTGAGTGTGGACCTCTTCATCATAATGATGTCCAAATTATTGCCGTTCAAAATACAGATTGTAATGTCACACCATATGACGCCCATTTTACGGACAAAATGTATTTAGCCAGAACTTGCTTTAAAATCATGCACAGACATCAACACTTTCTGTGTCCATTAAAAATGCCTAATTCTGTTACTTAAACTGTAAATCTATCAATTATTTATACTTTGCTGAGATATATTGTCATATTAGTAACGTCACACATAGTCCGGACAGTCACACCATATGACAATTTTGATGTTTAGATAAAAAAAAATGTTTTACTTTATACACCAGTAAAGCTATGGTATGCTGTAATAATATCTTGTCAGAGGAACAACAAAGATGTAAATTTTTAACAAATACCCATTTTTATTATTATATGACATCATGGACAGGTAGAACTGCATGTCATGTCATCCACCCATATGCTTAAAATCTTCCTTATAAGGCAGAAGAAATATAAAAGATAAAACGCCCCAGAACAAGCAGATCTATTGCCAAGACATATGTACTGCTGCTGCTCCAGAGAGCCGTGTGTTTGCTATCTATGTGAGCCTGGGCCGGCTTTGCCGAATGGCTTAACGCTAGTGAACTATTGCTGTGTGTACCTGATCGGTTGACCAGATAGCTTAAACTAGTGGCCTGAGTTAAATGTGTTTCTGGGCTAATGGAGCCCAGATAAATTAACCAGTGGCTTAGCAATGTGAACCTGGGTGTTGTACCCTTAGGTTTATTTAACTAATTACCTAAATCAGAGGCAGACTTAACCATTAGGAAAAGGAAGGCGACCGCCTTGGGCCCCCAAAAGCCAAGGGCCCCCTAAATGCTTTTTATATGCTAGATGCGCGTTCAGTGCGGACGCACAAGTGGTTGCTGTGGTGTTCATTACCACGACAACCATCTGTGTGTCCGCATTGAACGTGCTTCTTAGCAAAAGTAGGGAGATGTAGAAAATGGGGACGGAATCCCGGAATCTATTCATAAAAACGGAATTTACTGTGTAACGCGGAATGTGACGGAATGAACGGCGCAGACGCGCGTTTCGTTTGCTAGTTTGCTATTTAAGCACACGCAAAGCTCGCGGTTGTTGTCTGTAGTAGCTAAATAGTATTTTTGCCATTTAATATTCACATACACTAGTCCATATCGCGGTTTGATTGAAGTGTACTGAATTGCATTTGATTTATTCACTCAGCATTTGACGAATTCCGTGACATTGCTCGTTACACAGTAAACGTCTGTTGTGTAGCATTTTGAATGTACAAAAATTAAAGGGTTTGTTTAATTTTCATTGGAATAAAAGATAGATTAATGTTTTCGCCTTCATTTGATTACCAGAAAAAAGAAACAGAATTTCTAAAAAAAAATAAGTAAACAAAATTCTAATTTTATAGGGCCCTTAAATTAAGTTGTTTTTATGAATTAAATTAATTAGATATGTTTTTGATTAAACCATTAAAATGGAATACAGAAAAAAAAAAAAAAGAAAGCGCAGAATTTGGGCCCTAAGAATGTAATTTTTGTTAAACTTTTAATAGGCCTAAATTGCTGTTAAATTAAACAAGTTTCATGATTTTAATTAATTAGACATGCTTTTTGTTAAAATTTAATATAATCATCCAGAAAAAAAAAGAAAAAAAAACTGAATCTTTTTGATTCAATTTGAACGGAAAAAAAGATTTTGGAAAAAATAAAACTTAGGCTATTTGGGAAAAATAAAACAGATTTTATAGGGCCCTACAAATATCATGCATCTGAAGCTATAATTTTAATACTAAGCAACAGTGCATATTATATAGGGCCTATTTAAAAAATTTTAAATGGCGCTCACTCGTTTTTGTGAAAGACACAGTCACTTTCCACACAGGCACACTTCATGTTTGGTTGAAATAATCCTTAAGCATGTAAATTTATAATTTCCTTCAGTTTAATTTAAATGTGGAAATAAAATAAATAAAAATAAATTTATATTTTAAAGTTTAGAATTAGACAGCCTTGCGTTGTGTAGACAATTGCATAGTGAAAATTACCCCAACGCACCACCTAGTGTCCAACCTACACTAATACTATTATAACCTGTTTAAATGTGAACAAGGGATTTACAACATTAAAGAAATCCTTTATTTATAACATGTACATGAAAAATCTAAAAGATTAGACAACTATTGGACACGGTTGTGCAGCAGCGAGCAACAGTGAAAGGAACCTCAAAGTTGTAAATGTGTGAAATTGTATAGGGCCCCATTCCTGTATTTTGCCTGGGGCCCCCAAATCACTAAATCCGCCCCTGACCTAAATAACTATGTGTGTGTCTGAGCCAATAGCTCAAACTTACCTAGGTAGAAACGCGCACTGTCTGTGTCATTAACAAACAGGAATCACACTGTAGGCTGATAGCTGAAGTAACCCTTAGCAACCACCTGACTCAGGTTCGAGCTGCTCATTTATTTTGATAATTTAAAATATTTTTATTGCATATATTGTATGCACACATCATTGCTAAATGCATGGCTCGTTCCAAGATGGTCTTGAGCAAGACACTAGTGACTTTATTTAAATGCAGTTGTCTGCTTTTATATTAACTGTGTCCAAATTAAAATTCGCAACATAGAAATGCTGTGCATGCTGCTGCTGAGAAAAATCTCGATGACTGAATGCCTATGCAAGCTGCTGCTACTGCACAAAGAGACTGAAATGCTGCGAGCTCCATTAATTAGGCATATAAGTAGCTAGGCGAATGCTTATTTTACTTTAACACCGTGTCTAAGCCAGATGCAAGCGGCATAACATGACAAGTCAATAGACCCATTACGATTGGTAAAGCTGTCCGCAATGTATGCAGTGCGATACTGCCAAAACTTCTGCTAATGCTGCTACTGATAATATTCACTAACATTTCAATACCGAGTTGAAGTACATGCTGTTGCTGTTAATGATAATGTTGTGCAATGTTGTTAATGCAATCACAATGTTGTAGTAGGAATTTACTGTGTGAGCTGTTGCGGTTGTAATATTTAATCAGAATTTACGAATCATAATCTACTGCTGCTGCACGAAACCTGCTGTTAAGACCTGTTGAATAAGCAAAGCAATAAATGCCTAATGCACTTTAAAGAGTTAATTTACCCTCCGTGAGTTATAACTAAAATTTCATGCAACTAAAGCACTTTCTGCTGCAGCTGCTATATTAGCAACAATAATAATATGACTTGCTATGCATGCTGCTGCTAATATTATTTCTAACCTTGCATCTGAATTTGCTATGTATGCTATAAAATTTGCTAACATTGCGATCTGAATAGCTATGCATACTGGCTGCTGCACAAAAGTACTTAGAATTGCTACTGCCCCTTTATTAAATAAACAAACAACCAATTAAAGGGGTCCAATTATGCTTTTTTACTTTTTCAACTTTAGTTAGTCTGTAATGTTGCTGTTTGAGCATAAAAAAAAAAAGAGCAGCAAAGTTACAAAGCTCAAAGTCCAATTCAAAAGGAGATATTTTATTGAACATAAATCACTTCTCAAAAACTACAACGAACGACTCGTTTGGACTACAACACATATTTTCCGTGATTTATGATATCACCAATACCGACGAATGGGACGAGACCTGGTTGAGCTGCACTAGAGAAGGCAACGAGTGTTATCACTATGTCGGAGATGCGCTAGCTTTCCCAAGGCAGACGAACTTTGAGTGGTTACAATCATCCAGGTTTAAATCGTGCACAAATTGATTTGATTTTGATGCAATATTTACACTGAAGCTCGCAGGCAGCTATGGCAAGTACATTTGTGACAAGTGACATTTCCCGACCAGGCGCCGAGTGGTGCCAATCACTACACACACTGGCCCAGCTAACCACAGCACATGATCTGCACAATCACAGCTAATCACAGCACATTTCGTATTTCAGAAGGTGGGCCTTCATTTGATACAGGAACTATTCGAGCCGTTCGTGCCAGACTGGGGAGAGAGGTGTTGTAATAATGTAAAATATGTGAAAAATTAGTTTTTCGAACAACCTAGTATGAGAGCCTAAGACTTTGTAGAAGAGCATAATAGGACCCCTTTAATGCTTATTTCGCTTTGCCATTCAATTCAACAGGGCTTATAGAACATGATTTAACAGGAGGGGGCAATTCATTTTTCACGTAGGGCCACGTAGGTTTGGACAGCTTTTTTCCCTTAATAAATGAAATCATTTAAAAACTGCATTTTGTATTTACTTGCATTATCTTTGTGTAATATTAAAATTTGTTTGATGATCTGAATCTTTTAAGTGTGACAAATATGCAAAAGATTTAAAAAACAGGAAGGGGGGGAAAAAAAAAAATATATATATATATATATATATA